TTATTTATTTGGGATTTTTTTGGAGGGGTTAGATCTTGGTTGCACAGCATCCCTAGGGGCTGGGTGTGGTTGCTAAATCTTTACGAAGGGGATGGAGGGAGGGGGTCAGCTAAATGTCCTTGTCTCAGTCAACAGTGCAAGAAAAGCACAGGTAGAATCAGAGCGGAGTGAGCCCGGATTCGCCTTCCTGCTTTAGGTCAAACGCTAGATGTGCTTGCTTCCCGTCACAGACAGAGCTAATTTCTCCAACCTGAGCTGCCTTTAATCTGTTGCTGTTTAAAACACCTTTCTTCTGGGTTGCAGAGACCACTAGAGCCATCACCAGGAACCTAACTCCCCCGCGCCTGCGCTTCCATGGTCTCCCCAGCCGGGGGTCTCTGGGACTGGGTACACTGTCTATTCAGAAAGAGTTTCCAAACCTTTGTCCTTTCACTCCAGACCGACACTAGAAGGGAAGGATTGAGGGCGTGGCCGGCTGGTAACCCCAGGTTACAAGTTTGCAGCGAGGGGCTGGTGTGGGCTTCCTAGGTCCCCGCTCGGTGTTCTGTTCTGTGAAATGGGGTATGGGACACAGCAAATTCTAACACCCCTGGGTGTGGATGACCACTATGCTCCGCGGGGGCTGAGGGGTCGCGGGAATGTGCGCTCGCTCTACCCCAGCCGGAGCCTCTCTTCCCCCTTGCTCCGCCAGAGTCTTTATCCCAGCCAAGATCCTCAGCACCCCGCTGAGCCGCCTGTAATTCTAGAGGGACTGGCCTGAAAAGGGATATCGCCAACTCCCTGGAAAGGAGCAAGCCAAGCCAGCCAGAGCCTGGGGTGACTGAGACACTCTCTGGCGCCACTTGGCGACCTGGAGCAGCAGTAGCGTGGGCAGGTGGGAAGGTTTCCCGGGCAGAAATAGCAGCCCTTTCCCCAGTGGGTTTTTGTTTTCGAGCAGTCCGGAGATGCACCCAGATTTTTCAATTGGGTATAAACAGACCCAGGACGCCAACGAAGATTGGGATCTGAGAAACTGATAGCCCGACTCCCCTCTCTCACGCGTGGGAGCACACTCAGGTCTGATGGTGGTCCCAGAAAACACACCAGAATCACCTTCGCTGACACCCAGCCTGTGAAGGTCCCCCAGTTTCCTTGAAGGACCACTTGACCCCCAACGCTCTCTGATCATGGTCGGCTTCTCCATTCCAGATAAACTATTTCCCACCCAGGAGGGGACACGTGCCTGAAGAGATTGGGGAGGCGCTGGACAGGTGGGAAGGAAGCTCTCTAGGTAAAGAGGAGATGCCATACGAGGTACCCCGCCTGGGAGGGGCTGTCCTCGTTCACTGAGCCCTTTCCCTTTTCTCCAGGGCCACTTCAATCGGTGGTCGCGCCAGTGGCCGCCTTCTGAGCAAGCGTCCTGCCGGACTGCGTCAGCACTGGGTAAACAGATGACTGGCTGCGCGCCGGGCGGGGCTATTTAAGAGGCAGCCGCCCTCCAGTCTGCCCTGAACTTGGCTGGACTGCAGCCTGCTCTGCTGGAATCCGCCAAGCCAGCTGATCCCCCGTCAAAGGTAAGTCGGTGTCTGTGCTGGCCCATCCAAGAATTACGGGTGTGAAGAATACTGGCCCGTAGCTTTGCGTCCTGGCCGTATCATCTTTCTGTTTTCTGTGCCTTCCCTCCTTTGACAGCTGGGAAGATTTCCTGAAGTCAGAAATAATGGCTCTGGATTTTAAGATGCGCCTGGGTGGGTACTGCTGCGTGGAGACTTTATTCCTCTGTGTGCTGTCTAATGGCAAGGCTGGGATAGCCATTTCTTAGGGTTCCCACGATGTTCGGATCACTTTGCAATCATTTAAAAGGGAATGCCAAGAGGTTTTAAGACACATTCATTTTCTAAATGATGCAGGAAAAAAAACTAAGGCTTTGTGGCTAGAAAGACATCGTTAGGACGGTGCAGGTCCCATCAGGTCAGTTCTAGGTCGGTTTGCAAATGTGGTGGGGCTTTGGCCACAACTCAGGACTGGGCACAGAGTTCTGGGTTTTCTTTTGCATAGTGACTTCTTGTTCGTCCCCATAGAAACACCGAGGAACCTCTATAAACACAGCTTCTATTTATGCACCCATACTTTAAACCGCTTCCCATTGTCGTCCCATTCATTTCTGTAGAGACGGCTTTTAACCTGCATTTCTCTGCATTCTGCCTCTCTGTCTCTGTCTCTGTCTCTGTCTGTCTGTCTCTCTCTGTCTCTCTCTGTCTCTCTGTCTCTCTCTGTCTCTCTCTCTCTCTCGTGTGTGCTCAAACTCACAGAGATGTGTGTGTGTGTGTGACCCACTCACCCACTCTGTGTTTTCTGGTTAGAAGAGAGATGGGCTATAAAGGTGCCCTCTAACTTCAGGAAAGCAGGAGGCACTGCTTCTGAACCTGGAAGTAAATGGGGTCTGTGCGGGATTCCCGGGCCCTGGGTGTGGATAACACAAAAGCCAGGCAGAAGTGTCCCCAGGCGCGCGGTGGCCAGGGCGCAGCCAAGGACTGGACTTGACTAGTTCTAGGGCATGAGCCAGGCTGGCGGCCACAGCCCCGCGTTCAGCCTCGGCGGACTTCGTGTGCGGGACTTTTGGCTGCAGCCCGCCGAGCTCAGCCCTTGGTTCATGACCCTCGCCTCCGCTCCCCACAGCCATGAAGAGCAGCGTGTGTCTGTGCGTCCTGATGGCAGTCCTGGCTGCTGGCGCCCTGGCGCAGCCAGTGGCACCAGCAGAAGCCGCGGAGTCGGCGGTGCAGCGGGCAGAGGAGGCCCCCCGAAGGCAGCTGAGGGCGGTGCTCAGGACCGACGGCGAGCCCCGAGCGCGCCTGGGCGCACTGCTCGCACGATACATTCAGCAGGCACGCAAAGGTAAGGATGTCCGCTCTGCCTCACGCGGCGGCTGCTGCTGCGGTCTGGGTTCCCATTCCTGATCTCCAAAGCACCTGCAGGGAAGAGGAGGAAACCAGAGCACACGAGGAGCAAGATTCTCTCTTTCCTTCCCTGAGGTACTCTGCACCGCACTGTGGCATCAGCAGGTGGTGTTCTCAGCACCCAAGAGGGGAGATGGGTGGAGGGCTTACCGCGTGGGTAAGAGGAGCGGGCTAACCCTTCTCGGAACTGACTTCGGCACTGTATTAGGGTTGAAGTCCAACACCGCTTTAGGAAAACACACACACACACACACACACACACACACACACACACACACACACACACACACACACACACAGTGCTGGTAAGAGTCTCCAGATCCGCCCTCTCCTCTGTGCTGTATATACAGCAGGACTGGGGACCACCCAGACACTGACCCTCGGGACCCCTCTGGCGTGAAATAGGTCAGTGCTGAGAAAACCTGAGACTTGAGACACGTAGCTGGCACTGTGTACATGTCCCCCTGTATGGCGCAGGAGGTAAGGGTCAAAGAGCAGCTGGAGTTCCCTTGACTGCCCAGTCAGGATGGCCACAGAGTGAAAGCTGTGTCTTACGTTTCTATAGCTGTCAGAAAGGTGGCCACCATGCTGACCACCTCAGGGATCTTCTCAATATTGGAAGCCGCCCCCCCCCCACGATCCCCGTGGGCTATTCAGCAGCTTGCCAGTTGAGGGTTCCTCTCCTGTACCCAAATCTCTCATCTTCAGAGAGGCGATGGGGACAGCGCAGACCAGATCCTCTCCCAGCTCGGGAGTCATGGCTGCCACCAAGACAGCTTTCATCTGACTTTATCAGCAGGGACATGGATGGTGACTTCTGGCTGGGGTGTGTTAAACTGGACCAGTAGAGTGAGATTTAACTTTCGAAGGTGGGCCCTTTGTTCTGTGGAGCTCATTTACTCAACGTGTCCTGTCTGATTTGAACAGCCCAGGGCATTGGGCTTGACTAGTGAGGGGGAACTGGGGAACTTGGTTGAGTTTCCTAGAGTCCCCCATGAAGATGCGACCAGGGGACTTCAGGGGAATCAAGAGATTTCTTATGTTTCTTCCTGTTTGGGAACTCACCCCACAGCCATCCCTTTCTAGGTTGTTTTCCTGCTAATTCAATGGAGGGAGGGAGAGATGAGAGAGAGAGAGAGAGAGAGAGAGAGAGAGAGAGAGAGAGAGATCCCTGCCATGAGTACACACATACAGACACATACATACATACATACATACATACATACATACATACATGCACACACACACATACACACATACACACCAGGTAATAAGAAAACCTGGGAACGTGGGATGCCCCCTCCCCATTCCTTCTGATGTGGGCCAGCAGACCCTTCTGAAGTATTTTAGACTTTTCTAGACTCTTCAGTGAGCTGTCAGTCTATAGAACCTTTGGCCTGAGTTTGGGAATGCCCGAGCAGTTCTAGCAACAGAAAGCCTGGTTGCTGAATTATTGCCTAGAACCAACACATGACAGTGGTTTTCCCAGCAGCTGGAAGCCACTCCGAGCTCTCTTCTCAGACCCTGTCTCCCCTCAGCCTGTTGGACCCACTGAGCCCAGAAAGGAGTAGCCTTCATTTGAAAGTTGGTTTGCTCACACCCAGGGTCAGGGCTAAGTATAGAAGAGTGATGCCCACTTTTTGACAAAATATAAACTCAGGATCAATATTGTCAATACTGCACAATTTCTCTGAATATTTTATAAATGATTTTTTATTCAACTATAATACATACTATTCTTAAAGACTCTAGACGAGATACTTTTTTGAGTGATTGGGGCTTGGCTTTAGCTGGTAGACTGGCCTAGAATGCACAAAATCCTGAGTTCAACTCTCACACCACATGACACCCAGCCTGTAATCCTAGCATCGGGAGGTGGGGGTGGGTGGACCAGTTCAAAGCTAGCCTCTGCTGTGCAGCAAGTTTGAGGCCAGCTTGGGCTATGTAAGATCTCATATTTAAAAACAAAAAGTAAAATATGAAATAAAACCAAGCTTATCTTTAGAGCTTGTCTGCAGAGCCCTCAGTGGTCCCAGAGGAAGCCTATTCATTCCTGTGGAAGGTGGGGAGGCACTGGTGGTCCAGAGGGAAGTGTGTTCCCGTGGGAGGTGGGGAGGCATTGGTGGTCCAGGGGGAAGTGTGTTCCCGTGGGAGGTGGGGAGGCATCAATGGCACTAGCATCCAATGCTCTCTCCATGCATCTCTCTCAAGCCTTAAAACCTTTCTTCACATGAGCATCTATCTCACTGTCTTTCACTTATGAAGCCTGTGCTAAAGAAGGCAAATGCCATCTGTGCACACATTGGTGCATCTAGGAGGCAGCAGGAGTCTATACAGGTTTGACTTACGCCGCGGCCTGGAGGCCATACGGTTCCCAGCTCACCTGCTGCAGGAGTCAGATCACTTTGTCTCAGACCACTCTAAGCCCCTTCGCTGTGTAGTGCTGGCGATGGATGGAGGGTGATAACAACATGCCTGAGGACAGATCTGTGTAGGATGTGAGAGCCAAGGCATGTTCCAAACACAGCTCCCATGAGAGTAAAGTGCCCAGCCACTGACCGGACAGCTGGCTCGATAGAAGCGTGGGTTGTGCCCAGCCCTCAGAGTAGACACTAATCCCTAAACAGGCCAGAGGATGGGCTGTGCTTTCTTATGACATGGGAACTGGGCTGCATGTATTTCTGACTGTGTGTATGTATGTATGTATGTATGTATGTATGTATGTATGTATATGTTTTGTTTTGTTTTACCTGAGTAATTCTAAGCAGCTAAGCAGAGGGCCTGTTCTGTATAAGCTGGGGCTGTCTACCCAAAGAACACAGTGAGTGGACTCTCATTTCCCAAACCGGGAAGACATGGGGTCAGGGAGAGGAAATGTGGGCTGCTATTTGTTGTGTTGGTTTCAGTTTCAAGTTTAACTGGTTAAATTCATTATGCAGTAAGTCAGGGTAACTGCTTCTGTGGTGTCATTAAAAATGTTTTAAAATATGTATTAATTAGGCCATAGTGGTGAGTTTCATTATGACGTTTAGTGCATCTACAACACACTCAAATCACACCTACCCCAGTGCCCTCACTGGTTACCCTCCCTCTCCTGGTTCTCTTCCCAACCAACCCCTCTCTACTCTGCTGCTTTTTTCTTTCTTCAGTGACCCAATGGGTCTCCTCAGGGTTGCTTACTGGAGCATGGGACAGGGAGACCTACTCTGGCTGTGTGTCTGGGAGCAGGAGCCAACAGCGAAGCCACCTGCAAACTGCCCACAGGTGGGAACACTGGTGCCAGGCAGTGAGAGCTGTTGAGAGGTTTACCACTTCTCCTAAGGACCCCAGGGTCTCTCTTTGCCCTTGGTCAGCACAAAAGGCGCTACACTGGTTACAAGTCTGGGAGGCCATTGTCAACCATTTGTGGCCTGGGACCATGCATCTGCCCGAAGAGGAAGGAATCATGGAATCATGTCACCGTGCCCCTCCTTGCCCAGGTCACACAGCCGTCACAGGCTGGCCCCCACTGCAGGTTCCATTGTTGTAAGGCTGATTTTTTGTTTGTTTGTTTTGAGACAGGGTTTCTCCGTATTGCTTTGGAGGCTGTCCTGGCACTCACTCTGTGGACCAGGCTGGCCTCAAACTCACAGAGATCCACCTGCCTCTGCCTCCAGAGTGCTGGTATCAAAGGCGTGCGCCACCACTGCCTGACCAAAAGGCTGATTTAAGCTTCATCTTTGTGACCTTTTTCATTCAGTTTCTTTGAATGTTACCAAGATGCCAGTGTTTTAATCTGACAGGGTGTGTTTTTCTGGTTATTATTTTAAAAAGACTATAGCTTTCAAAAGTAATAATTTATAAACAATATTCATGTAGAAAGAGAACTTGATTTTATTTTTTTTAAACATTTACTTATAAGGGGGCATGCCATGGTGGTGTTGTGGAGTTCAGAGGACAACCCACAGGAATCTGCTCTCTTCCACTGTGTGGGTCCAGGGGCTCAAATTCCCATTGTCAAGGTCAGCAATAAACATCTTTACCCACTGAGCTGACTAGTTCTTGTTCTAAAAAAATATTTATTTAGTTACACACGTGCATGCGTGTGTGTGTGTGTGTGTGTGTGTGTGTGTATAGTATGCATACAGAAGTCAAAAGACAACCTCAGGTATTGGTTGGTCCTTACCTTCTACCTAGTTTTAGGCTGTATCCCTTTTGTTGTTGCTTGTCACTGCCTTTCATACTCCGGGCTGCCTGGCCCATGAGCTTCTGGGGGATTTTCCTGTCTCCACCTCCCATCTCTGTCTAGGACATGCATGGATGGGCTCCAGGAATGTGAACTTAGGTTGTCGGGTTTATGCAGCAAGTGCTCTCACCTGCTGAGCCATCCATCTCCCTCGTTCCTTGATTCTGTTTCTAAAAAACTTACCTTTGAATCACGGTGTCCCAGAAAGTTCCTTGATGATGCTGGGATGTTAAGGCCTCATTTTAAAAAGCCATGAGTCCTGGGACGATCTTTGCATGGCTTCTGCTGTGGGTTATGTACACTATGAAATGCTGTTTGGGGTAGGAAAAGACAGACAACACCCAGGCTGAGCATGGCAGGAAGAAGTGTGCCCCTCTAAACACTTCCACACAAGTGCTTCCTCTTGCGTTTGTTTTTGGCTTGGCAGCAGCTATTTAATGCCTATAAGAAGGCCTGGTGAGATGGTGGTGTCAGTAAAGGGCTCACTGCACAAGCACAAAGACCAGTTCAATCCCCAGGATCCCACGTGAAAAAGTTGGGTGTGCAGACACAGGAGGATCGCTGGGGCTTGCTGGCCAGTCAGTATAGTGCAATCACTGAGCTCCAGATGCAGCAGGAGGCTGTCTCAATGAGATGGAGTCAAGATTGAGGAAGACATAGATGTCCATCCGCATGTGTAAATACATGTATGTACACTGAACAAGCATGAGCATACACAGACAGACAGACAGACAGACAGACAGACAGACAGACAGACACACACACACCCACACACACACACACACACACACACACACACACACACACACACACACACACAGAGTCCTGGCTTTCCCCACTGCTTTAGTCATATTCTCAGATCTACAGCCCTTGTCTCCTTCTTTTCTACTGCAGCTCCTTCCGGCCGCATGTCTGTTCTTAAGTCCCTGCAGAGCCTGGACCCTAGCCACAGGATCAGTGACCGAGACTACATGGGCTGGATGGATTTTGGCCGGCGCAGTGCTGAGGACTACGAATACCCGTCCTAGTGGACAACTTCTCGGCCCCGCTTGGAGGAGGCGGAGTGAGAAAGCAGCCACGCGCACAACCCCTCAGCTCTGCTGTTTGACATTTTGAGCATCTATTTATTAAGTCCCAAATGTGAAACCTGTCTGTCAAGAGTGTGCTGTGCGGCCACACACCTCAGCGCAGCTGGAGGTTGGAGGCTGTGTTTTCCTCCAGTGAATCCCAGACCTAATGTTGCTATGCTATTAAAGATATTCCCCTCTGCCCCTCATTTGTTGTGTCCAGTGAGGGTCCCCAGAATGGACAAGGAGGGAGAGTAGTAAACGGTGCCCACAGGGGAATCCTTGCAGTAGATGGTCCCAGAAAGGGCTTGGGACATGAGTGCAGGGCATGGAGCTGAGCTCCCCACTCAATGCAAGGTGGCTTGTGGACAGGCCCTTGGGCTCAGCTCCAAGGCCTAGACCTGGCTACACTGATCCCTGATCTTTTCTCCCAGGCTCTCCTACCCCAATAAGTTACAGAGCAGTCACTGCCCCACAGCCTGTCCTCTACAGACAAGGAGGTGAACCCTGGAAGGTGGAAGGGGCTGACCCTGGTGCCGCAGCTCGTGAGTCCCAGACTTAAAGGCTGATGCACCTAGGACTCCATTACCCAGCACCCCTAGAACTATGGCGTGTAGGAAATCGTGGTAAAGTGCACATTCTGACCCAGAAAATCAGGGCTCAAGTCCAAGCAGACACCCAGGTGCTGCTGACCCCAAATCATTCTTGGGGCTTTCACCAGTGCAGCACACAGCCCGATGTCTTTGTCCTGGGGAACCTATTTCTGTTCTGCCCCAAGTAGAGAGGCACTGACAGACCAAAGAAAGGCTTCCATCCACACCTAGCTTGATGGGTTTATAGGGTTACTTGCAGAAGCATGGGTGAGTCTGGCAGCTGCACCCCCCCAAAAGCATACCCCAACACTGGGGGGCAATCATGAAAGCTGCATCCCTCAAGCTCCCTGAACAACCCACAGGCAACTCCATGGAAGAGTCTCCTCTCATCCAGAGATGGTTTTCCACTTGTATAGTAGCCGAGGGGGGAGCCTCTTGCATATTGTTTCATGAGCCTGATGGGCCTCGGCCCAGTCACACTGCAGTCAGTCAGAGGACACTCAGGGGGCAGGGGGGACTTCTGTCGTCCAGAACAGGACCCAATATGTTCATTCTCTGTGGGCATCCATAAAGGGATCCAGTCCACAGAGACATCCAGAGGTGACCTAGGAATGGCCACCCACAGTGCAGCTTCCCAGACCTCCTGACTGAGGCCTCCAGGACAGGGTGACATGAAGGGATGGACACTGGAAGCAACATTGTCCCATCTGTGTCATGTCTCAGGGGGCCCACCCAGCCCGTCATCACTCACTGGGATGCTCAGTGTTTCTTTGGTGGTAGAGAAGAGACTGTTAGGAAGCCCTTCTGGTGACCTCAGGAAGATGCGGTCAGAGCAATCTTTAACCAGAGCAGAAGTTAGAATTCAGTGTAACGTTAAGACCCCAGTAGATAACACAATACGCCGCCCCCGTGCAGGGTTCCCACCTCATTTAGTCCCAACATTTGGGTCTCTGAGACTGCCTCAGATATTAGGGGTCCCATCCCCATGTGTCATGTCTGCCTTTACTGGTAACTTGATTGGATTTGGAATCACCTAGGAGACACACCTCTGGGGAATATCCGTGAGGTCACTTCCGGAGAAGATTAACTGAAGAGGGGACGTCCCCTGCCCCAAACACGGGTAGCGCCATCCCAGGGGCTGGGATCCCAAACTGAATAAAAGGGGGGAAGCCAGCTGAGCACCGGCGTCCACCTCTACTTCCCAATGCTCCCTCCACCACCATCCTTTCCTCACCACGGCAGACAGGATTCCTTTAAACCCTGAGTCAAAATAAATCCTTTCTCCCTGAAGTTGCCTTGGTCACAGAGAAGGGAATAGCAACTACTGTACCACGATTCATTCAAAAATATGTGTAGGCCTGTGTTTCCAGCACACCACCAAGCATGGGGTGGGGTGGGAGTGTGCAAATGCCCGTGTTGTGGGAATGGGCAAAGGACTCGGAAGTGAACGCAACGCCCACAATGCCCAGTGAACAAAGACCTGGCCTGATTTAGTGGCTTCTGAATCGCCAGGCATGGGGGCACTGTTTCCAAAGATAAAGCCACCCACGCCTCTTAGAAATATAAGACCAAGACATTTTGGTGATGCCACGTAACTCATTCGTTAATAAACTGGTAAGAAGAAGGACAATGGGCATACAGAGTTTGTCAGGAGTACCTCGACCTGGTAAGGGACTCAGACCAACCAAGTCAATGCTTGGAATAGTCTGAACAGCAAGTAGTTACAGCTTAGGGTATTTTCCCTATGTTTCTATAGATGCTTCAGTAGGGACTCAAGAGCTAATGGAGATTATGAGCTCAAAGACAGGCGCCAAGTACCAAATGAATGGGAGAGGCGCCGCAGAGGCGGCCTTGGTGTACTGACTACTGTGCTCCCAGTTCAAGGACCCAGTCCCTTGAGTGGAGCAGCCATGGCTGTAGCAGAGAAGGTGGTTGGTCCCACTGCATCTATAGACAGGAAGCAGAGAGAGGCAACACTGCTGTTCAGCTTGCTTTATCCTTTTCATTCTGTTCAGGGCCCTGGTCTGCGGGATGCTGTCACCCGCAGCTAGGGTGAATCTTCTCACTAAGTTAAATGTTTCTAGAACATCCTCACAGGCATACCCAGAGCTGTCTCTTCTGGGTGGTTCTAAATCTCATTAAACTGATAAGACCAGACATAGCATGAGGCAGAGGGGAGAATCGTAATCTCTGGATCTCATTTCTAGGTACGTTCAATATTTTTCCCTGGCACCTTTAAATTATTGCTCATCCTGGAGGTAAACACAGCAGGAGCCAAGCAAAGAGAGAGCTGTGGCCTCACTAATTTCCCCTGGGCTCTGGGTTCTGCGAATTTTTGCTATTGAATGTGAAAAGGATTTGCTGTGTCTTCCTTCCACTGTGGCTACAGCATCTGCCCCAGATTCCCAACCAGTCCCTGATCCCACTGGGCAGAGCTCCGCTCCCAGGCCTCCGCCCCACTCGTCTCTAAGCCTTCCCCAGCCATTACACTCTAGCCCCTGCCCTCCTCAGTGTTTCCCGAGAACACTAACCTCAGATCCCCCTCAGGACTTCTCTCTGGCTCATCTTACCCCCAAAGCTTGGCTGAACTGCCCAGGTCCTTCAGCCCTGCCTCACCATCTCGCCATCCTCCACACAAGACTCCTTCCTCCCGTGCCTCCTTCCTCCTCGGAGTTACATTGCATATTAATTGATCGCTTGTTTCATCTTGTCCACTAGGGAATCAGTCCCACAAGGGCAGGGATTTTTTTGTCTGTTGCATTTAATTTCTATCACTTACCATAGTGTCTGCACTCAATAAATATTTGTACAATGGATTTGTCGGCAAAGAAAGGTTCTCAGGATCCCTCCCACTAAGGTTACCCACCAGTTTTAGAAGCAATTTCACACAGGGACGTGATCAAGTCCTACCAAGTAGGCATAGGAAGCTGAAAGGCAGGCTGCCAGGCATGAGGGGTATGAAGAGTGACAGAGTGCTCCAAAGTGCACCGCCCCCTTCCCTGGCCTCTCCCCTCCACTCCCCCACACAAATGCAGCCTCATTTCTTTTACTCCAGTCAAACCCAGAAAGGGGGCCAGTGAGGTGGCTCAGGCTTACCACCAAGCCCAATAACATGAGTTCTGTATCTGGAGCCCACACGGTGGGCAGAGAGAACAGACTCTCATGATTTGGTCTCCACATACACATCAATTGATATTTCTCAATTGATTTTTTAAGTTCAAGGTATTGATAATATCGAAAGAAGAAAAAGAATGAATTGGCGATTTTTTTTAGTGGGTTCACTCAGTGTATTAAAGAGGTAGAAACTGGGGGCTGGAGAGATGGCTCGGAGGTTAAGGGCACTGGCTGCTCTTCCAGAGGTCCTGAGTTCAATTCTGGTGTGCAGGGATACATGCAGGCAGAGCATTGTATACATAATAAATAAATAAATAAATAAATAAATAAATAAATAAATAAATCTTAAAAAAAAAAGAGGTGGGAAACTGTCTAAACAGGTGCTGGCACGGTCTGAAATCCTAGGTACTTGGGAGGCTGAGACAGGAGGATTGTGAGTTCAAGGCAACTTAGCAGGACACTGTCTCAAAATAAAAAATAAAGAGAAAGCCAGAGATGTAGTTAAGTGATAGAGCATTTGCCTAGCATTTGTGAGGCCCTGGGTTCTATCCTCAGCAACACACACACACACCCCTCACACACACACACACAAGCACACACAGACACATATGCACACACGGGCACATACCCTCACACAGGTGCATGCATGTACGCCAGGGGAGCATTTGCTCATGCAATCACTTTAAAGTTCTTTAAAGGCCTCAAGAGTCCTGGCATCTGTGAAATCTGGACAACAGCATCTATTGATTGTCTTTTCCAAGGAGAATTGAACATCTTACGTACGGTACTTTGTCTGCTGCGGACATGGTGTGTAACCCAAAGAGCGTGAACATCACACTATGAAGCCCTGGATCTTGATGTCTTAGAAAGTATCAGTATTTTTACTGTAGTGGCTTATCAGCCCAGTGCAACCCACCTTGTTTTGTCCATGTGTACACCATTCTGTTTGTAAAGAATGAAGCTGCTCCCTGGCCTCCTTCCTGGCACTCTGGCACATGCCACAGTGGTCAGCCAGGGGACTGGTAGGGTTGACCACAGTCACCCGAGTTTTTGGTAGGGGAGTGAGAGTCGGTAAACATTGTGTACTCACACAGAATTATCTAGAAACAAACTTAAGTGATAAAAATACAAAAAAAAAAAAGTAGGTGTCCAGGGCTTTAGTGAAGCTTAGCTTTGGGTGTGTACACAGAGTGTTAATTCGGGGAGACCCAGCCTGAGTGTTGAGGTATCAGCACACAGACTGGGATTCCAGGC